CTCCAATTTATGGTAGTTTTTTGGGCACCTGCTATAAACATTCCTGTTTAGATAAGCCTACCCAGATGCTTAAGACAGTTGGGGTAATTTTATCTGTTAACTTTTGTATGCTTTAAAGCAGGGTTGAATTTTTTTCTTGCTTTTACTGCTTTATCTTTTGTAAACAGCTTAGAGGTGTTTTTGTTGTTGTTTTTAAACAACCAAGCAGTGTATAAATATTACGAAATAAATCAAATTAGCAAATAAACAAAATGTTTCCAAGACTGATGGAGGGCACTGTTTATGATTCTTTAAAGGGCTTAAATAATAAAACAGAGTGTCACAGGTCCCTACATTGCAGGGAGTTGGACTAGATGACCCTTAGGGGTCCCTTCCAATTCTACAATTCTATGATTCTATGACAGGTGTCTGCTCTGATATGAACCTTCAGATTCTGACCTTTACCAGGGGAAACCCTGCCATAGGTATTTTATTTTTTAAGAGGTAGAATTTAGTGGTACCTGGGGCAGGGCTTTGAGGTGGCACCACAAATCTGGCCACATTTGAAAGAGGAAAATGTTCTGGAAATTAAGATGAGGTAACAGGACAATGGTCAGGAACAAGGGCAGCAAAATGCTGCAACTACGTATTGTGAAAGCCATAGGGGTATAACGCAAACCACAACTTAATGGTGAACCGAGTTCCCCAGCTCTCTCCAGAATTTGTAGCAAAAGCTTGTACATACCCTCAAACCCACACACCCCACATTAGTTGCCAGTGGTAAGGGAGAGGGAAACAGAGAATGCAAAGATCTTGGGGCGCAAGGTAAGGTTTCCTATGCATGAACAGAAACTGGGAGAGATATCGGTTATGAGACTGCTTGTCTGGGTGCTTTCTATTAGACTCGGTTTTGAGGGACAGTGAAAAGGGTGTTTGGGACTAACGCAAGTCCTTTGTGATCACTCACTTACCTTTATGCCATCATTAGCATTGTGCACAACAGTAGTTTGTGGTTCCTAATTGAAAGAGGACAGAAATACAAGTATCAGATGTCAGCTCCAAAACTTTTCTCCCTCCGTGTAGTGCCTGTTGGGAGAGCAATGTGACAAGACCAAAGCACAAACACCTCTATCCTAAAAACGGTGTAAGTACATCCCATCCCATCCACCTTAAAGGGCCACTCAAGAGTTTTGGAAGAGAAATATCCAATTGTAATAGGTAAACTTACAAGGAGACAAAGCCATACAAGCCTCTCTATATCCAATTTTGTTTGTGAACTTTCTTCGGCCTGGAAGATTTCCAGCAGTGCTCAAGAATTAGTGACCCACGGAGGGTACTGATTATTTATTACTTTTAAAAGCCAACATTAACATTTCACCCAGATCAGAGAGGAGAAGCAGGGCTTTGTCTCCATGTTTCCCCCACAAATGTCTCTGGAAGGACATTCACAATTTCCCCACAAAAATGGCAGCCAAAGCTCCACAGCAAAGAACTGCTCAAGTAGGTAAGTTGCAAAGTCCCACAATTGGTTGAACTGACGTTTCCAAAATGAGACATTTTCAACAAAAAGAGGAGGGGAGAAGCTGAGCGTCACAAGAGCAGCATTTAAAAAGCCAACGCATGGTGAGGTACAGTGAGTAAAGGACAGGGTTAAAAATTATGAAACATCCCAAGGGGGAGGGGGAACCTCTCCGAAGCATTACACGGAGTAGAGAGCAACTATCCAGTCTCTTAAGACTCCTAACTTGCAGTCATTCCTGTATTCTTTTTGAGAAACTTGCCCAGTTCTGTTCTATGACAGTATCACAATGCCCACAATGTTCATCCATTTCTGTGGCCCACAGCCTACTTCCAAGTCTTTAAAAGAAGGGCCAGAGAGGGCATTGGTTGAGCTGTCAAAAACACAGGAATGTGTAGCCCCGCTGCAAGCGTGTTAATCGGGAAGAGTGAAAAACCCGGTGCAAGTAAGACAAGGGCAGAGGTTTCCAATTCCTTCATTCTTTGGAGACTGGATGTCGTTGACCACTCCATCATGGCCTCCTTGAGGTCAAATTATATCAGGACAAGCTGCAGGCCTCACACACAGACACCACAGCGCTTCTGCACCTCTCACTTGCAAGGGAGCTTGGGATAAGAGCCGGGGGCAAGAGATTGCAGACAGAATTAAGCAGAAACACGGAGCAGCAACAGGCAGCATTCTGGGCAAGGGTAAGAACCAAAAGTAAAAACCAAAGAAGGGCAGATAAACGGTTGGGAAAGATACCATGGACATCTGCACTGGGGCTGATTCTTTTGCTGGGCTTACTACACTGGCTTTGTTGTTGGTCTGCGGCTAAGACAGAAAAACAGATGGTTTAGTTTCCCCCCCACCCTGCTGGGCAACAGTCATAAAAAAAACATTACATTGCTATTGCTGCAAACAAGACATTTCAGCTCAGTCCCTTCCCAAAGTCACCTGTGGAGGGGAAAGGAAACAGGAGAAGGTGTAGTGGAACAGGTCGTGCCTGGTTTGCCATCTTCCATGGCAAAGATGCACCCAGATACCCACGGAAGATTAAATAGGATTGGGAAAAGAACGAGATGGGTATAGATGAGTTAGTCCAAAAGCAAAGTGGCAAGGAACTTAAGGGAAGATGAGTAGCCTAAATAGGAGTGTTAACTTAGCCAAGGGATGGAGGAGCAAAGAGAAGGGATCACATTCAGATGAACTGCAGTATGTTGGATGGAACAACCTGGTGGCTGGTCACATTCAGAAACCTTGTGGCTGGAGCAGAAGGAAGGAAGATATTCATGACTAATCCCTCAGTGGGCCAGAGAAACCAATGTGTTCAACGACCTTCCCAGCATTCCACTTAAGTTTTTGATGTTGGACATAAGCTGGACTCATGTTCACACAAACCTAGTTCACTAAAATATCCTGACTTTATGTCCTTCCTTCCTTTCCTGCAGTTCTGGATCCTAGCATTCGAAATTGCAAGGGCTGGTTGACTCGTATGCCTCTCTCAAAGAGCAGAAGACTCCCAGCCCAATTATTTCGCAGTGTGAGCAATCCTGCTCGAATTCAGGTAAGCCAGATATGTACAGGTTGTGGTCTAGATGCATGTTTTTCAAGAAGCAGGCAAATCTGGATGCTTGTTCTCCTTGGCAATGCACAGCAGAGGCCAGCCCAACCCTTTCCTGGCTGCCAAACAGCAGACTGAGAAAGGAGCAGGTAAGATGAACTAGTCGAATGACTATCCTACTATGGGAGTCACTGTCAAGCTGAAACTTATTTAGACTGTAATATCCACAGCGAAGTCATTTGGAAAGCTGAGAGGAGACCACTGGAAGTTGTGTATTTGCAGTTCACAGTGCACTGCACTGGACCAGAGCATAGTCTGAAGGTACATGATGCAATTCTACCGCTGAAACTAAAAGCAAATCTGGTCTTGGTTGGGAGACTGCCTAGGAAGCATATGAAAGCCACTCTGAGCTCATTAGAAAAAGTGTAATAAATGCATGATAAAATAATGGGAGAGGCAGATACCCTTTGGCAAAACGGAGTTATACTGACACAGAAATATCTTATTAACCTGCTCTATCAAGCACCTTTGCCACAATAGCACCATGGTTGCTCCACTATTATGCACTTCAACTGGTACCAAGCCCCTGCCCCCCCATCTGTAGTAGTTCCATATGCACCAACACATCAATTTGCAATATGAGTTAGGAAAACCACAGTGTTTCATGGTGGCCAACCATACAATTTTCAGATATTCAGAAGGAGTGCCAAGGATCACCTGTAAGGATAGCAGATACGTCTATAGGGAGAGGTCAACAGAAAATTACACAAACAAAGTCGGGGAGATTTTTGTAACCTGGGATAACCCACAACTAATTTATTTACTTGACAGGGATTGGCCGACACAGTGTGCCCTCTTCAAATATAAACTCCAAGGCATTGGAGATGCCTCTACATCATACAATGCCACTTTGCTGTGTGTGAGAGAGGAAATCAAGCAACCATGTGGGAGAATACCCCACCAAGATGAGGATAGGGTAGGGAAAGACCCTTCCAATTAATTAGCCCTGCCAACATGGTTCCTTGAGCCCCCCCCCCACACTCTCACCCTGCACCAGTGTGGCACTGCATCATGGGAATGTGGCTCTAACACCGCCAAGTGCGAGTGATGAGTTGGGTAGGTGAACAAGTACAAGCTGAACGCAATCCCTGTAAATAATCCCACACAAATCTCAGCTTCATGGAGAGGCGTTGCAACCAACCCTAAGCATGTTCCGACTTTAACCACGCCCACGCTGTAGCATGTGTAAGCAGAACCGACATGCAAGCCTTTGAAGCTGTGCTTTCCAGAATTCTGCTCCGTTAGAATTATGCTGTTCACTATGCTATGTGTGCTAGAGGTTTTCAAGTTCTAAAAGGTCCATGAGATCTATGAACCCCTCCCTAGGGAGGTCAAGAGATGCCTCCCAAGTTGGAGGGGAGGTTGTATGTCTGCTCCAGATCCCCTCGTGGCTGCAATCCTACACAGAGAAACAGTTCTGCTTTACTTAATCCAGTTCTCGATTTCTCCCCCATAACCCATGATAAAAAGAGGAAGACAAAGCAAGTGTAAAACTGGGTTTCAAAATAGGTTCATTTACACCAGCTAGGCCCTTCAAGATGGAAATTAAAAACAGAAAGTAACACGTGTGTTTCTGTACCTTCCACCACATGGGACAATGTGCACATCACAGCAGATATAATGGTAACAAATAAAACCTGTAGCAAACGTTCTTGCTGCCTCATTACTTTTCATAAAAACACAAGTCTTTGTGAATTAAGACTTGATTCTCACACTTAGGATCCTGCTGGTTTTCTTCCTTGCTATGCTGCAAGCACCTCTCTCACTCTCTTTTCTTTAAGAATTCTGGTATTTAATGCGGGATAGGTCCCAAATGAAGATTTTTAAAATAAGTAAATAAGTAAATAAATCTATTCATTGGGGGGGGGACCCACTCTGCTCCTGAAGGAATTCCTGAATTCCCTGTTTTAAAGTATTAAAAATAATCTTCAAACCCATTCCTTCACTCCTATTGAAGATTATTTTTAATACTTTAAAACAGGGGTGGAGAACCTAAGGTCCTGTGAGGCAGTGAATGAAGTCCACTGGGCTTCTCTGTACTCTCCCCAGGGCAAACCCCTCATCCACTGCACTGTGCCCTCTGGGTTGAGGGATGCACTTATTATGGGGGTTCAGAAGCCTTTGACATCTGACTGACTGACTGGAACACAGCCTACTATACAAAAAGGTAATACACCCATCCGTTGCTTCCACTATTTGTTGCTTCTGACTCCACCTGAAAAGGAATACAGCTCCCAAGCTGGAAAGCCCAACCCTGTTTTATAATGAAGAACTGCACCCCAACAAAGTAAACCCAAAATCTCATTAAGCAATGGTGTAGCCAAGAAAAGCACTCACCATATGCACCTTGTGGTGTTTTTGCCACATCTTTGACTCTCACAAAGGGATGCAGAAGGGAAAGTCACCTGAGCTACCTAAGATTGCAACCTTACGCATGTTTACTTGAAAGTAAGCTCCGCTGTGTTCAGTGAGGCTTACTCCCAGGTTAGTGAGCACAGGATTGTGCTGAATGCATTGGAAATCAGTAGTAGCAGTATTACAAATCAGAGAGTGAGGATAGGTCAAATACATACACATAGGTTACGTGGAGAATTCACAAGAGAAAGTGGACCTTCACATTAAACCTGCTATTAACAGACATGGGAGAGGGCAGCTAGCTGTCTGCCTTGACAGCAACTAGCATACACAGTTGAAATAGTGGCAGGCAGGCAAAGAGTTCGTTCATATGCTGATTTACCATCTTCCCAATGCAGCAACTGGAAACACAGAAGCTGGGCACTGCTGATAATGAGCAAGGCGGAAGAGAGTGGTTTCCTATAGAGAACATGACCTTGAGAGCGTTTAGCCCACACATGAAGGGAAACTGTGGTCCAGTTATCATGATATACAAAATTTTAATTTTGCTGTTACAGAGGGCAGGGGCCACTAGGAACAATGTCCACCTTCTGTTCTTGTGTCATCTGAAGTACTAACCAAGGGGTTCAGGAGGTATAAGCGAGAAGACAACAGCCCAAGCTGTCACCTGCATCAAAGCCCTTTGTTCCTATGGTGTACTTGCATTGATGCTTTACCATGAACTTCTCCAGCTGAGCATTCAATGGCGACGTGGCCAGCTCTGCTGCTGGTACTTTATAGTAGCAAGCAAAAAACCTGTTGATGAGGAGACCACCTGGATTCTCCAGGAGTTATCCTGCTGTGTCAGATGCCTAGGCTATCACCAGATATCCCACCTTGATTAGGAATAGGCTAAGTACTGTCCAGGCTAATGAGGGGACTGGGAGCAAGTACATGTGTCTTGTTTTGGAATGATAACAAAACCCTTAGGCCAAATGGTGAGGATCTCCCTGCCAAATGTAGAAAGCCTCACTTGGCAGAAAGTTAACACTGACGCCAATCACTAGTCTACTGACTCCAATGAGTGTTACTCTAGCTGGTAATCTATGTTGAGGGGGAAGAATGGAACAGCATCCTCTTGTGCACCTTGGAAAATAGCTAGGACCATTCTGCTACGTAGGAGGAACTGGGGGATGATGGGGGTGGTAAGGTTGGGATGAGCACTCATCAGTGTTGGTGCTAACCTTTAAAGTCCTAAACAGCCTCGGCTCAGTATACCTGAAGGAGTGTCTCCACCCGCATTGCTCAGCCCGGACACTGAGGTCCTCCTCCAAGGGTCTTCTGCTGGTTCCCTCACTGCAAGAAGCAAAGTTACAGGGAACCAGGCAGAGGGCCTTCTCGGTGGTGGCGCCCGCCCCGTGGAACGCCCTCCCATCCGATGTCAAGGAAATAAACAAGTATCAGACTTTTAGAAGACATCTGAAGGCAGCCCTGTTTAGGGAAGTTTTTAATGTTCGATGCTTTATTATGTTTTATATATTCTGTAAGCCACCCAAAGTGGCTGGGGAAACCCAGCCAGATGGGCAGGGTATAAATAATAAAATCATCATCATCATCATCATCATCATGGCACATTCTGCAGGTACTGCAATGCAACAGACTATAACACTGCCCTCTGTCTGCCTCATGGTTGCTCTTGCTCTGTGTTATATGTTGCTCTGAGTTATACGCAGCTTTGGTCCTGAAGGCAAAATCTTGGCTGGAAGTGTAGCGGCAGTACTTAAAATCCCCCACCCTCCTTGTAAGCTGACTTTCATTTACAGGGAAGTGAGAAAGAGGAGGCTCTGGTGGGGGGTGGCGGGGGACGACAACCCTAAAATGAAAACCTGAGGAGGTGAGCATTGCAAGAGCTTTACCTAGACTCTGTTTCTTGTCCATAGATGGAGCTGCTGAGAGTGCAGGAAGTCTTCCCCCCTGAAGGAAATCTAAAGCTTTGGCTCAGCCACTACCCTTCCCAAAGGATGCCCAAAGCAATCCCTAAGGAAAGCTAGGAGAGGGATGCTGATGTCACCAGAATTTTGCTTGAAGGAAGCGAGAGCTTCGTATTACGAGCGACATAGAACGAGACTTACTTCTTTTGACATTTGGTTGCATTATATATCCAACACATCCTGGGGAATATACACATTCATTATGAAGGGGAAAATGAATGGGAACAGTTGTCAGATATGTGATTAATGCCAACTCATTTTGGCATTAATGCCAACCATATACTTTTGGAATTTTTTTGGTGCGGGAGGAGCACTGAAGGGAGAAGATGGGAAAACAACTGTGTAACGGAAGAGGGTCTTAGGGACAGAATTCTGGGAGGGAACAGGAAGTTAATGACGGGTGTGAGCCACACCATGGTGCTGCGCCCAATCTTTTCACCCAGGACACAAGGAAGAGGCCGTTTGTTCTGCACTGCAAGGCTGCTCACCACCAAGGAAGGTAGTGCTAGCACAGTGCAATGCCGGCCCCTGTGTCCGTTTCAGCACTTCTGCAATGAAATACCCAAGGTTCCATGCCCGGACGATAGTGCAGAGACCATGCTCTTCTTGGCCAGGGCAAGGCCATGCGGACAGCTGATCCAGCTTGGGAGACTGTTTGTCAGTTCACTCAATGTCAAAAGCTGAATTTAAGGTGCCCAACTTTCGGAACCAAGTCAAACCCTTACCAAGGGCCTCGTCTACAGCATGATCTTTTCCGTGAGAACATGGACCTTTGGAAGTGCGAGATGTCTCCCCTTCCCACCGGCCCCAGCCCCAGCCCGCCCCTTGCCCAGACATGCTATGTGAAGGGGGTGATGAGCACAAGCTGGACGTGCATGGCATGAGAATGGTGATTGCACAGGGTCACAGGCAGTTTTATGGGAGGTGCTCACCATCAAATGCACGCTGGAGCTTGACTTCCTTTTCTGGACACACCATTGAGAGGAGGAAAAAAGAAGGAAACAAAGAGATGAGAAGAGAAGCAGAGAAAATGTTGGCACTTGTGTGTCAGCACAGACCCTGCTGCCAATCATGCTCCTCCAAGAAAGGATCAAGATGGCACAAACATCTGGGCACATGGAAGGCAGGGATCATCAACCTGGCGACACGGCATTCCAAACTCAGCAAGAGGGTAAAACAAAGAAAGAATGCAGCCAATGTGACATGGGAGAAACGGAAACCGGCGATATGTTCTTCTCAAAATATTCCCAATCTAGCAAAGGATGAGGAAAGTTTTCCCGTAAACCACACACAGTTTCCATCCAAAGAAATCACACTTCTGAACTGCCTAATCAATATGGTAACGAAGGGCAATGGAGAACTGGTGTTTCAATCCCTTAGCCTTGGTCTTTCTGTTCAAACCTGCCTTCATCTGGTCAGGTGGCAAGCATATATTTCCTCACACAAATAAAGAATGTTTAATTTGCCTGTGCTGGGAAGGTGGCTTACAATGACAATTACAGCTGCAATTCCAAGGTATGCACAAATGCACCCACAGACTTAGAAAGCATGCTTGGGATCTTCCAGAGAAAGGAGCATTTCAGCACCCTGCCCATAGAAATAGTTTTCAGGATGAGCCGAAGAGACTGACTGGGTACATAACAACGCCCCACCCTTTTGATTCTTGTCATCAGAATCAAGGCACATGTCACTCTCTCACAGAGCACAGCCCTGGGAACTTGCACAGAAAAGAAGAAACTAGATCAGAGACACTTCCGCACAGATGCACGATGGGTCAGACAAGAAGATGTCAAGTGTGTGCTCCAACAGGAGTGCAGAGAAAAAAGGCACTTAGGCACGCTCAGCAGGAGGTGTCTGTGTGAATGGAAACAGCTAGGTTTCATCGAGTGAGACCAGAGAGTTTACGAGCCCCTTTTCTGCCTAACCCCAACAAGAGAGAAACGTGGCATTTTCTGAAACAATTTGAGAGAAAATAATGAAGCATAAAACAAGCATGGCTGAGAATGTGCAAGGCACTTCCCAGGTACGTTGGCAGGGGAGTAAGATTAAGTACCAGCCTGCAATGATTGATGGGCAAGAGAAGAAGATGAGGAAAGCCAGAGACTGCAGGAAAGAAGCATGATTAGCATTGCACCATGCTTACTGCTTAAGCGATCCACCCAGATTGTGTTTCCTCTTTCCTTTCTGGCAACAATTATTACCCACATGGGGCATCAGCCACAGTCTTGTTTAGAAATCCTACTCTCAGCCCCTGCTCCCTCCCTCCGCACCAATAAAGAAACTGAGATAATTCCCTTTCCCAGCTGCCTGTTATACAGCCTTCTGGGGGCATGTAGATATGTGTTCTGACTCTGCAGAGAAACCCACACAATGCCCACTGAATTGCACATCATATTAATTGTGTTTCAGCAATTACACACACATTTCAAAAAGCAGGATCGTGGTGTGTGGGGATGCAATGAGGGGATTCCCTCATTGCAAGAAGCAAAGCTACAGGGAACCAGGCAGAGGGCCTTCTCGGTAGTGGCGCCCGCCCTGTGAAACGCCCTCCCATCAGATGTCAAAATGATAAATAACTACCTGACATTCAGAAGACATCTTAAGGCAGCCCTGCTCAGGGAAGTTTTTAATCTGTGATATTTTACAGTGGTGCCCCGCAAG